CATGGACCGCTTTATGATGAATGATAAATAAACGACACAAGAGTAAAAAAAAAATATTACATTCAATACGAAGATCCGTATCTCATTATCAATACACATAGAAAACGACAAGAAGGCGCTAAAAAATGTTACGTTGACTTGCAATTTGCGTTTACGCAAATAATCGGACAACAATCACTTACCCGTTTCATGACTAGCGTACGATCTCCTGATTCTTCTTCGTCGGGGGTCGGTGGAAGTGGCCGATTCGGTGCTCCCCCTGTAAATAAAATATGTATGTAACTATATACGCATACACATGACTTTATAACTTATTATTACTTTTTACAACCATGCTTCAACTTTATAGAATAAAAATCTATAAGAAAATTTTGTTTTTATAAGTCTTTCTAATAAGCAGTTTCTATATCTGTACTATATATATATTTGTACAGGGTGGGGCACACACACGAAGTGTTTACAAATTGTTTTCTTGGAAATTATTACAGTTATCGATACACTTTTTTTTTCTTTTTTTTCAAATTAGATTACTCGCGATAGAGGCTAATACAACATTGTTAGCAACTCATTTAAGCGTCCGCTCGCTCAATTTTGCTCACTCAAAGCAATCTTCATTAATTCTTAAAAAATAGAAAGGAATAAGTGTCGAATGAAACTTGATATGAATCATTTCGACGATCGTATAGATGTAATATCTCTGGATGGATGTGGATAGATCTCTCCTTGTTTCAATTGATATCATTTCTTTATTTGAGCATATTTATCCTTGTAGACGCTCAAGTGTGCGATATTGTAGTGTACTCTTCAATTATTATTCTATTTATAATACAATGTGAGAAAACTGAATAGAGAAAAATATTAAAAAATTAATTGTTCGATGTCCTACCTTTCGGCTTACCTTCGAGGTGCGAGTTCTGAGCATTGTGCGACGATGTCGACGATGGATCCGCGGATGGTCTGAAAGGAGAAAATTCGGGTCTGCAGCAACGGGAATAGAAATGATGGTCGTAATGGCGTACGAACGAATGCGTTGTGTACGTTGCGATGGCGATGCGAAGACGACGATTCGAAGCGACATGTTGAAGCGTAATGAAAGATGAAATCAAACAAAACAACATTAGTAAGATTAATTTAACTATTACCCATGAAATACATAAAAATATATAGAACATATAATGGCTCCTCGAATTTTGATTAATTGGTCTAAAACATTAGAGAGCCCTGTTGAGAAGTTGCATCTTGATATGGTTTTGAACAGGAGTATCAATCTGTTTAATGACAATGATAATTGATTTTAGAAGAATATTCAAAATAAATAAATAAGTAAATAATTATCGTGATTCTTCAATTATTGAACTTTTCTTTTATCATTATTAAATTTAAAACGTTTTGCATTATATAAATATTTTGGGTGAATAGATTAATTCAATTTATATTATTTTAAATTGAAATTTAAAATTTGAAAATTTCAAAACAGATTGTATTCGAAATTCAAAGATTTACTACAGGTATTTTCAATTTCCTATTTAATATTTCATACAAATATTTCTCATACAATTTTTCTAATAAATAAATTACATAAGTATTTAATTTACTTTCTATAAGTAAATTAAATAACAATTTAAACATATATTTGTTATTAAATTATACTATTACACTGTTGTTTTGCGAGTTAATCGAATAATGAATACAGATATAAACTATATCTTTTTTTCATTAGAAATGAGAAGTAATATATTTATGATAAATGTTATTTAATGAATGAAGGATTAATCGTTAAACATATATTTCTATTTTCACATAATTATACAATATAATTCTTCGACTTACAAAGGTTTTGGTGGATCACTGGCGAGTAATGTACCATCGTTCCTCGCGTTATTTCCTCCTGCATCTTCGAGGTCATCATCACTATCGCTTTCAACGGATAAAGCCTGTAAAGAAAGGAATATTTTTGAATTACTTACATAAATACGTAATTCATTCACAATAAATGCTATGCACTAAGACTAACTAATTAATTGAAATTCAAAAAAAAGAAAATTACATTATGATATAGGTAAGAATGTAATGCTTACTTGATCGAGTATACTGGAAGACTGTGGCATTTGTTTATTGTTTTGGTCATTACTGCTCGCAGGCTGACCGGAATTCGACGTTGATGATGGAGCCTTGTGCTGCCTGTTTGGCCTTGGCGGGGCCTCTGGGCCCTGCGACACACCAAGCTCGTTGAGTTGAGCGGCCAGCATGTCCAAGTCCTACCACCCACACACACACACGCACAACCCCGTTAGTCACTGTTCCGAAACACCTCCAACAATTGTTTAAAAGCCGCCACCAATCAGCCAGGCGAAGCAGATGACAGAGGTACAATATATATATATACGAACTATTTCTATTCCTTTTGATTATGATCAAAATTATTAAATTACTAAATAATTGCTTCATTTTTTTGTACAATGGATGGATTATCGATAATGGACAAACGTGTATAGACAATTATTCCAATGCAGTTAGATTGAACATAAACCAAAAGGACAAACACATTTATTTCCCTGTTAAATTAAATACAGAATTATATTTTTATTATATTAAAATGTAAAATGAATGAAATTTTAAGTTATTATTTAAAATATTATTTCTGAATCGACTTGTACATATCCTGTATGTGTTGCGTTTTATACATTTAATGCAAACATGTATTGATGCATTTAAAGCAGTATATAATCGATTTTCGTGGAAGCATACATTCAAGTAATTTGTCTGAAGCATTCAAAGATGTTGTATTATTCTTAAATGTAATAGGGAACTAAACACGAACAGGAATAAATAATGCACATTTAATAAAGATGAAATTTAGAAATTCGTTTGATTGTTTTCTGTATAAAAAATAAACCAAGCAAATTATTTAGTAATACCAGAAAGAGTATATCACAGCCACGTGTAATCTGTTTTATAAAATTGCACGTATGGACAATTAAAAAAAAAAAATGTTACGCGTAGGGAGAAGAATACATGTCACTGTATTATGTATAAATGTGAAAAAATGAGAATGTAAAGAGAAAAATAAGTGTATGTGTTTCTTACCTCTGGTTTCCTTGGAGGCAGCTACGGTACGTGTGAACATGGAAAAAAAACAAAAACCGAATAATTTCAAATCTACGTGCAAGATGCGCGGATATGTATTTCTGTATGTATATGTATGTGTGTGCACGCGTTTATGAATGCAATTAATTATACGCACGCTAGGAAATAATTATGCAATTATATTTGCATACACGCCAGCGGCTCAATAGCAAAATAGAAGAAAATTCTGCGTGCTACTGAAAATATGTATTTGTTTATAATAATAATGTAGCAAAAGAAAAATATAAAAATATATATTTATATGTACAGTGTGCTTGATTTAAATAAGCAATAATTAAATATCACGAAAAATATAGGAAATACAAATACAACGCCTTTCATATATTCTTTTAAGAGAAATTTAACGATTGCCATTTAAACCAAATACACTATACTGCAAAATATATAATTATACACAAAATACACTAAGTTAAGGAGAGGCAGCAAGAAGGCAAAGTAGGATAAAAACAGCATGTGCTTGTCTACTAATCTTTATAAATTGGATTGAATCATTCAATGTTAGAATCTGCTATTTCATTAATCTTAACGACATTGGTAAATATCTGAAAAAAAAAAAATGATATTTCCCAAAAGAATAATTATCATAAACAGTTCTAACGATAAATGACTCATTTTATGTATTTTATTGGCATAAAATAAGTGCGAAAGGAGAAGTTGCAATACGGAAATAGAGAGAAATAAAAAAAAATATTAGAGAAAATAAAAACTTACCATAGGTTTGAAAACATGACTGTTTCTTTGCGATGCCGATTGTCCACCGGATCCTCCACTACCGCCTCCACCAATAAGAGGTTGATGATTAGAGGGTGGTGTCGAAACTTTATGAGGTTGTCGTGGATCATCTCTAGGTGTCGGAGGCAATGGCCGAGACGGTGGTTGTGGGTCTGGAACTACTATACGCCGCAAAATAATTATGTAACATTTAACAAATCCGATTCGTTGTTAGAATTAACAACAACTTTATATATAATATGAACAGCAATTTTATATATAAAATGTAACCTCGAGCTAAAAATAATTAATGGGTTAATGGTGTTATATTATCAAACGCACCGATTAATCTGTGCGGAATGGCAGGTCGTGCGGGTGGTCCTGGCTCTGGTATATCTCTTTGAGCTCTGCTACTGGGTTTTTCTTTAGCAGCAGGTGGTTGAGGATTTACTTCTTGAGTTAAAGTTCTACCTTCCTGAATTTGCTGGAAATTCCTACGCAATGTATCACCACCAGGTGCTTGAACAATGGATGACGCTTCACCAGCTAACGCTGGTTCATCTTCTTCATTCTCGCTACCACTATACCGATAATCGTCTCTTTCTATACAATAAAATATAAATAAAGAAGCATTATTAAAAATTTCGTTTATAAATAATTTCTAAAAAAATAGATTTTTCAATAGATTTTTTTTTTTTTTTTTTACCTTTTCTCCTGTTTACGCTTTTTACAGCGATCAATATGATCTTTAAGCTGTATCCTAACTTGTCTTTCCGTTGGTTGGTCCCGAATAAACGGATGTTTAAGGAGTTGTTCCGTATACGGCCTTTGATGATAATCTTTTACTAAAACCGTTTCAATAAAACCGTGGAATTTCTTCGCCCACTTTTTCGATTTAAGTCTTGGCGGTGGATTACGTGGGATCAGAAATAAAGCCTTTTGTGTGAATTAAGCATAATCAATAAAATTAAATTTCACCCTTTTAAAACAGAATAGTAATATACAATAATTGTGAATGAATATTTACACATATTTCAAATACTTACCCGCATCGGATGAAGATCGCAAAGTGGAGGTTGTGACTCGGCCATTTCTAAAGCGGTAATTCCCAATGACCAAAGATCACTTCTATTATCGTATGTAGCATCAGGATTTTCATCACAGGCTATTACTTCTGGAGCCATCCAATATGGCGTTCCAATAAATGTATTTCTCCTACCTATTGTCCGATCTAATTGTGCACTAACGCCAAAATCAACTACGGTATAATAAGATTAAAACATTAAAACATAATTTTAAAAAACATATTATGCATTATATTGAAACACTAATTGTTAGTAAGATTATTTAGGATATTGAAAACATACCAAGTTTAACTTCAGCATTATCGGTTAACAGAACATTTTGCCCCTTAATATCCCTGTGTATAACTTTATTGCTGTGAAGATAACTAAGTCCTCTCAATATTTCCCGCGATATATACGCAATCCATTCCTCCTTTAAACTCTGGCCTTTAGTTGACTTGACCAGATCTGTAACGGAGCCAGCTCCGCAATATTCCATAACCAACCACAACTGATCATCTTTTCCTGGTGATGACTTCTTCACGAAGGCACCGTAATACGTTGCTATATTTCTGTGATTCGAATACTGCAATATACGATAAAATATAAACAATTTTATCTTATTCTTTTCCCGGTTCTATTTAAAAGCAACAATATCCAATACTCACCCTTTTTAATACATTAATTTCTAATTTGATTTCTTCCTCTTCATCCTAAAACAAATAATAATAAAAATTGATTAGCTTTCAATATAAATAATTATTCTTAATCATTCTTATCATTAATCATTTTATTAACAGTTAAAAGTTATATTAGTTATAGTTTTCATTAATTTTTGAAGATCTATAAAAATATATCTGTAAAAAAAAATATATATATATATGTATATATTAAGATTAAAAGGATTAAATTGCTTGTAATATGAGAAATAAATTGAAATTACATGGTCAAAATAATATTTATTGTCTTCCAAGAAACAATCATCATAAGGCCAAAAAGCTTATTATTATTTTCCGACCGCAACCAGATAATAAAAGAATTGTCACTTGTGAATTAAATTATTACTTAGTATACAAGCAGCAACCTTGAACAACCTTGAACCACTTGAAATGACCCTGAACCACCTTGAACGACACTGAACTACTTCGAATAGCCTTGAACGACCTTGAAAGACCAACATATTCTAGGTCAATGAATTCTTCTTGGAATGGTTAGGCGCATAGCTAAATGAAAGCACGTGATCTATTGAAAAGTCAAAGGTCGTTTTAAAATTTCAAAGGCATACATTAAATAAAATTTATATAGATTGCAACATGTTCTCCTCAAAATAGAATAATTTTGATGTGAAATATTGATTCTTTGATTAAATTTTTATATTTAGATATACGTAATGTTTGCATTTTCAAAGATTTACAAAATTAATTATCATTAATTGCTATATTACATATGTCAATTTTATCATCTTATATTAAATAGATTAAAATCAATATGTTACACAATTGTGTTAATCGTTATGACAAATAGACACGCCGATATTGATCTAATTAGATCAGATATCCATCTAATCCTGTCGCAAAAATAATAAATTATCTAAAATACAAAAAGAAAACTTGAGCCAGAAAATGGAATCCCAATTAACAAAGAACAAATATCTGAATCGTGAAAAAAGAAAATTCCTAAGCATTTATAGCAATGTTTCCCAACTTGTTTCGAATTGCTTCGATTCGTTTCTGTAATATTCAAGTAACTTGCGACCCCCTTCTTTCATACAAGGTAAGAAAAATCGAGAGGATCACCTTGATATCTCTGTAAAATATAGTAATGCATATATTATTATATTTTCTAAAATTAATAACTGTTAAAAATTGTTAATTAAAAAAAAAAAAAAAGAAAAAGAAAACTTTTTAACATCTTCAGACATCATGACTCACAAATTGGGAATCATTAGGTTTTTGACGTTGGATTATAGGATCTTAAGAAACCTTACTAATGATACCTGCATCGGCAGGATGCTTTCTTTCTTTTCCTTTTCCGACTTTCCATAACTTAACTTCATTTACAAGCATCGCAGCCAGGTCAACTATAACCTGAAAGCCTGAATCACCCTATCTTACCTAGACTATATCCCTCTTTTTCATAAATATAAAGAGAAACATGATTTCGTAAAAGATAGTCATAATCGATGATCAGATTAGATAATGAAAAGAATTCTGCTTCATTGAAATAATTTGGAATGAATTAAATAAAAAATTTTACTATATCTTGTACTGTATTGAGAATTAGAAAATTTGCAAAAGATCGTTTATTATTATAAACTAATTTATTAATAGTGAACAATTAGAAACACATAAATCTGATAAATAAATTAATCTGACGAATCAGAAAGAAATTTTTATTTCTCTATGATAACATCTAGCCGCGTGAAAATGATAGATAAAAAGAATTGAAAAATTTTAACTTAAAAGAACTTAATATTATATTTATTAATATTCCAATCTTATCTGACCAAATAATATAAATAGAAATATTTTTGCAAAGAAAAAATAAAAACAAATGGAAGCAAATATTCAATATTTAATATTGAATGGAATAATAAAATTTATGTGTATTTAATGATAAATTAAGAATACAATAAAAAAAAATTGAACATAGGAAATTTCATTTAAAACAAGTCAACTCTCTGCAAACTTTCTTTCTCTCTCTTTTAACTCTACTCTCATTTCCAACTCTTTCTCAACTGACTAGTGCACGCATTCTTCACAACCATTTATCCTTGCATTCTCGCACATTCTCTCGTCCTCTATTTCTCTGTTTCCCTCATTCAGTGAAACTATTTCTAAAAGACGTTCTAAAACAAGTTGATCTAAAAGTTGATATATTATCGTCCATCCTTCATTTACAATAATCACAAATATTCTTCTTTGTATTTAAGAGATCATGGTCATTCACAAAAATCTTCATACGTCCTATAAAAAGATTACTTTTATTAAAAATTTATATTTTATTCATGCTTATTACATAGTCATGATATACTTATTTATTAATTTTATATAATAAATTAATTCTGAATCTTTTTAGCATATAATATGCAAACCTTGCAAATTACATAGAATTTTATTTCAATTTTTATAGAATGTATCAAGATTTTTGTGGACTAACTAATAAACCAAATATTCATCATTTGCATCTTTGCAATAGTTTTTAAATAGCTTTAACGTTGCTAAATCCATCAATCAGGATATGATTCATTTAACTTTTGTAATAAAGAAAAAAGTCGATGAGACTATCAAAACTGGAACATTTATCAGATAAGGAACTGCAATGAGATAGATAAATATTGTTATCTTATTCGCATCCGTTCTAGAAAATAATAATAACAGGAATAATGACAAAGACACACGTGGGATCTCACTAATTTTTAAAATTTAATTAAATTGTTGAAAATATATAATAAAAAATATAAATAGTGATTATACATATATCATAGACTTGTAAGAAGTGTGGTGATGCATGAAATATATAGCTATTATTATACAATTACAATGACCTACCGTCGCAGAAAGCTTGAACAAAAGAAAGAAAGCGAAATGAAGCGTGCGAATGGATCTAATTAGTTAGATATATGTTCTTTTATTTTAAGTAACGTTAATTATAATGTCGTATCATGGTGGCCAGTATTTTATAAATTGTTTGATTTAATATAATCAATTTTTATAATTTCTCATGAGGGAAGACATTCAAGGATGCAGCAATTTGATGAAATTTTTGAAGTTGATGATAGTTTTGAGTAAAAAAAAGTATTTTTTATCCATGATGATCTATATCTGGATGTTTACCTCCCTTTCTTTAATATTCAAATGGCTTTCTCCTCCTCTTTCTACACACACACACAACAAAGAAAATTTAAAAAAGAATACAAAATCATCAGCTAAAAAAATGTTATTCCTTAAAGAACAATCCTCCAGAAGAGGATTCTGATTGAATCCATCAATGATCTAGAGATATATAATTACATTTTAATGAAAATTACTCACCTCTGTGACGTCCATAACCTTAATGGCCGCCAATTGACCAGTTTTGGTATGCCGACCCTGAAAAATAAAAAATTGAATTATCGTTACACGTAATTTGTTCTTACAATTAAAACGAATAAAAACCATTCTTCGTCTACATTCTAGGAAAAATCATCCATTCGATTCATTTTCCATTTTTTTCTCTTTTTTACTTGTGTCACCTCAATTTACAACTAGTATTCCACAACACTTTCTCTTTCTGCAAATTTTCTTCGATATCGTGTCAATTCAATCAACAAAATATCTATCTGCATTCCCAACTCCGCCCCCGTACCTTCATCGTGCCCCGTAAATTACCGCTTATCGCCAGTTATAGATACATATTTCAGAATAGAACTCGAAATAGCGGACGAATTCGAATTAACGATGGCTCTACGACGCGCCAATGCCTAAAATATATTCGCTAAAATATCAACAAGAAACATAGCAAAATTTCCATTGAGATTTGCATCATCCTCGATTACGAAGCCGCTTTTATGCTTTTGAACAGAATTGAACAGGACCGTGCAACAGGAGGAGGGGGGAGGGAATTGCAGATCCATCGTGATCGTATCGATAAAGGAAATACATAAAAGAAACAAGATAAACAATGTGAACAATCTGAAAAGTTTCGCAATATAATAAATGAGGAAAGAATGACGGAAAGATGGGAAGGGATTTGAAGCATACGTGCGAATACGTAAGATTGATTAATTTTAAAAACGATCGAGCAAAAATGGAAAATAAGAAAACGAGAGTATAAAAGAGATAGGAATAATCTATACGATTTATACGTATAAATTAATATACGTGAAATATTATTTTTTTATGAGGTAAAATTTTTATTAATGTTTCGTGCAAATATCGAATAAAACTGGATGGAATTATCAGAAGAAATAAGTAAGATATATTTTTTTTTTTTTAATTAATAATAATTTAATAAAAATGCGATTCGTTTTCGAAGCGGAAGAAAAAAAAATGCATTCTTTGATGATGATATCTAAAGAAAAAGAAATCGAAGAAATCATTATTATTCGATAATTTGCTTTACTATTTTTATCGACACGTAAGTTTCTGAAGTTGGAAAACGCTTTGTTGGAAAATAAAGATATGCACGACACGATATTTACTTTTTGCAGCTATTGTACATCTGATGGAACGGGGCACTGGAAACAAGTCACATTCATTGCAAAAATTATGTTAAATTCGTATCTCATTTAAGAAGAAAACTATGGGAACAAAAAGAGCTAAAGCAATGTGTTCCCACACCGAATCGACAATAAAAGAATTTCATCCTTATGAATGAGGAGAAACATTTTCTCTTAATATACCAGTAATTACCTGCTGTAATAATAACGATCGACAATATTAGAAATTAATTTAATTTGCTTACAATATAAATAAGAAGTTTTTTTTTTTTTCAACAAACATGTAATAATCATTAATATACCCGCGGAAAAAGAAGAAAATGAAGAAATAAATCAATAAAGAAAATAAGAAAAATAAGAAAAATGAAGCGTCGTATAAAAATAATTTAAAAGTACATATTATTAAAGAAAATTCATTTTCAAACGAGATAAAATAAATGGTCTTGAAAAAGTTAAAAAAAAGAAAAAAAAAATATTTCATTTTAATAGCAAAATAAAAGATAAAATTTACGTTATCACATTATACGAAATACAATTTGCATTACAATCATTATTTTTCTTAAATAATAAATTAATGGCGGATTAATTTTTTAATTTTTTAAATGAAATACTAAAATGTAATATCATGTCAAAACAAGTTCAACCATATGTGATTTTAATGACCTTCAAACTCGTACAAGGTCAAGAATAAATAAAATAATTTGAACATTTCATTCCACACCATTACATTTAGTCGTACGAATGTATTTCATATTGATAAGACCACATTGCACCTTCATTGTGATTGGCAAGAATACGTTTCTTAGATTTATGAATCACATTTTTCACGCCTTCTGCTAATTTTATCTCGAATATCGATGGACACGCTTTGTAAATCATTTTGATCTCTAGACTAGGTATATCATAAATAATATTTTTAATATATTAAAGCCCAAATTTTCTAATTTTTTTTGTAAATTTTTATAATACATCTGTAGTAATAATAATAATAATAATAATAATAATAATAATATAATCTATTGATAAAATTAATTATATAGTATTCATCTGCAAAATTATTATGATTAATTAATTTTTATTTGTACGTTATATTACATAAATTTTTAATGATTATATGTAATTCAATTATATGAAATTCTTAATACATTTAACATAGTGATTTTCCTAATATTCATTAACTGATTATTCTATGAAAAACATAAATAATCTAGTACAAATTGACAACAGAGCGTTTAATCGTTTGTACTCATGCGCGTGGCTGTTTCATTCGTTCTATGTCGTCATCAATAGTAGGTCATCGCACTCTTCCTCATTCCCCCTTGTTCTTTATCATCGTACACATATACACGAAAAATAAGAATCATAATATTGTCCTCGTGTTAATGTAAGAATAAAAAATTAATTTTTGATCAACACGATTAGTTATGTCATAATAATCAAATTAATAAAGATGTATCATTCTACTTGTTATGATAGTACTTGTATGATACTAGTATGATACTTTTCATAAAATAAACAATCAAATTAAATTGATATCGATATACTATAGAAATGTTAATTAATATATGATAACTTAAAGTATAAAAAAAATTTATATTTTAACGTGGAGTAACATCATTATTGCTGGAATTCTCTTTGTTTTTCATATTGAAATATTACCGGTACATTCTCTGCATTTTTTTGATTAAAATTTGCTTTTTATTGCATCACTTCTTCTTTTTTTTTTTTTTTTTTTTTTCAATTAATTACTTCAAGACAATCGAAGACAAATTGAAACTCTACATCAAAGATAAATTCGAATAAATTTTTTGAAATAAGTAATTATCTTCTTTGATTTATTAGTTAAAATTTGTGACTCTTTTTTTCATAAAATTGAAAATACTAATATATATTTTTATGTGATTTATGTATTTAAATTTTCTTTAATCTCATACAAAAACATCAGAAGATTGTAAAAATATTTTTTTATTAAACAATAATTTATCATTGATAAATTAAAATAACAACTATTTATTATCTTTAAGCTCTTGGTAATGCTACTTAATATATTTACATAATATATACGTAGAAATAAAAATCATTCTGTGAATTACATGTGATGAAAATTGATTAAGGAAAAAAATTTAGATATAACAGCTCCTTTCTCTAGCATTTTTTATTATTAAAATCTTTGAATAATTTATATAGTATTTTTGATCAATTTTTTAGATATTTTTCATAGCTTTCTAGCATTTATATATTATTTATTGAAAATAATTATAAAACTAAAACAATGCAAGTATTTTGCTTGTATTTTTCTTGACTTTGAATTTAATAAATTTGATAAAAAATTATAATAATAAGAAAAATAAGAAAAAATAATGGTAAAATAGTAATAGAACATTAACATTTTTTTATTTTAGTTTGAAAAAAGGAAGAAGAAAGAAAAATATATTCATATGAAGCATTGGTAACTAAGATTAATATTTCAAGATTTGTACTGCTTGAGAAATTATCAAAGCTAAAAATCGATATATTTAAATGAAATATAAATGAAACATGAATATGATAGCTCTAGAAATTATATCAGAAGTAAACAAAAGTAGGAAAGATCCGATTGTAACATAAAAAAATTGAAAAATTAAAAAAAAAATTAAAAAATAAAAATTAGAAAAACAATTGTGTATATCCAGGAAGAAATTCTGAAAAATGTATTAAAAAAATTAATTTGTCAATAATACCAAAATAATATATAAAACAAGATGTAATGAACTAAATGAAATAATAATAATTTTTATTTATTTATTTTTATAATAAATATTTTAATGCTTTTTACTAATATAATTATTTTTACTTATTATATTTAATTATTCTACTTAAAAATATTTGTATTGCAGCATCAATATAAATTTTTTTGACAACAAATAATCAAAAAAAATTATGAATAGTTTATAAATATTTTTGATAATATGTATAAAAATAAATAAAATTAAAAGTTATGAATAGACATAATACAAACAGAGAAAAAGATTAATATATATATAATATTCAAAGATTTGAATACTGATTTATCAACTGAATATTCTATGCAGTAAATTATTAGTTAATATTTATATACATTATCAATATAATTATTTTAATAAAATAAAATTCTTTTTTATAAAATAAAAATCTAAAGTTATACTTTTTAGAATAACAAGCAATTTAAATGTTACGATATAAAATTTTTAAGATTTAAACAAACATGACTGTTATATAATTAAATTTATTAAAGTATATATTTAATTATTAATTATTATTTTATTAAAATTTTTTATTATTTTTTTTCATTAAATATTATTAAAGAAAAAAACATCATTTACAATTATACATATATATAGATATATATTTTTTTTATAATATATATATATATATAACATGTTTAAATTTTTCAATATGTACTTACTTTATAGACTTGACCATAAGTTCCATTTCCAACAACTTCAATTAATTCGAAGATACCTGCAGGTTCCTATAACATATATGCACATATTTTTGTTAAAAATATATTTCAGAATACATATAATATATTATTAAAGTATTATATATAAGATAAATAAAAAATTAATAAAATTAAATATATTTAAATAAATATAACAATTTTTAATAATATCTTGTTCCAATATAATATTAATTTATCATAGAAATAAAATTATATTATTTTAATTAAATATTTCTTAATTATCTTAAAAATATATTTATTAAAAGATATCAGATATAAAATTTGATATAAAATATTGTTTATTTTATATATTATTTGTTTAATTCGTATATGAAAATATATTGATGTTCATCCATACACGCAATATATGTCGTGTATGTCATTTATAATATGATAAAGAAAAGTATACTTAAAATAATAAATTCATAATTATAATTATATATTTATTTAATTATATTATTTTAAATAAAAGTTAAATATTATCTATTCATAATAGTGTTCGATTTAATTTTTTGATAATTATATAAAAGACTTCAAAGAAAATGAGATATAAAAATGTTGTAAATAAAATAACTTTGAATTTGACAACTAAGAATGATCAAAAATTCAAAAAAATTATTCTTTTATTTCCTTCCTTATATTATACTATTATCAAAAAATAATAATCATCGTTTATTCTTATGAGGTTAATTATGGTATCTTTGTGTTTATATAGGATATAAAAAATAATTTTTGTGTCTCTAACAATAGTTGCTTCTAAATGTTAGATTTATATTTAATAAATAAAATACATTAAAAACCCTTACGTACTTTCAAAGCATTCAGATCAATGTCGTCGAGCGAACAGTTGACGCTCGGTGCCAAATTATGCGCCATCTTGATACGCCACTTGCGCTCCTTATGAGATATCTTTCCTACTTAAACTCAGCAAATCCACCGTCTATCCTCTTTTCTATTCCTCCCGTTATTGTTCTTATTTTGACTTCCAATTTAAGCCGTATAAAAATTTAAAAGTATAAAAAGAAAAAATTACTCGTTGCACTTACACTAACACAAAACACCAGGATCACTAATAGAAATTTTTATTAAAATAATTCACCGGCAAACTTGTTACAAGAATATTTTTATGAAAATTTAACCGAGTACGATCCAGGGAGAAAGGAAATACACGTAGAGCAATGGCACATGGCGTATAAATGAATTCTAACGATCAACGAAGAAACAGTCTACCAATCAAATTAGAAAACAATAAACCTCCATCACGTTCTTTCTGAACTTTTCATAAAATATAAATGTCAATAATGGCAAGTAACACGGTCACAGCGCTAAGCGCTGGATTATCGTATCGTCATAACGGATGCGGCACAACCGAGCCGAGCCCAAACACCACGGCAGCGGCCGTTCTACGTCCTATCGTACTGCTTGCAGCACGCCTCTATTCTCCCTCCTTTGCACCCTCTTACTATCTTTTTCATTCTTAGGCGTGCGCATACATGCTTTTCTGTTCTCTCTTCTTAATACTGACAATGTTTTCACCGTCTTTGTTTTCGTGTGCTATGTGATTGTACATCACTACACTTTTTGACGTCATCCACCACGCTAAACTATGATGGCGGCAAGTACTTCCCTTCCTAATTTTCTTATCATAAAATAAAATTAATCAAAAAATAAATTTGTCAATATTTTATTCTATTCCTATTTCTCAATTATATTCAATAAATATTATCTATCTTCATGATATTATGTATTTCATGAATATTTGTTTTATATAAATTAAGTGAAATATTTAAACAATTAAAAATAAAAAAAAATGACGTTTAATATTTTCGTTAATAATGTCTAATACATTTAAATAAAGACTCCAATATATTTAAAATAATATATATTATGTTATAAATAATAAATATATATTATAAAAAGAATATGTTTATTACAATATATTTTTTTTAAAAACAATTTCATATTATTTCAGAAAATATAAGATTTTGATATAATGATAACAGTATACTTACATATAATTTTGTAATTGATTTAGCTATAACTATACACAAAATAAAATGAACATTATTTTACAGTATAATTACAATTTATCATTTATATCTATTATAACATTATAAATAAGAATTAACATATATTTACTATATGTACAATATAAAATATAGCAATATAATATTTTTAATTAAAAATCTTAATTAAAATTCAATTAAATCAACTTAGAATTATTTTCATAATAGTTAATATCACAAAAAATAAAAGTTTAAACTTCAAAAAAACTTTAGAAATTTCACAGAATGCAAATTATGTTTTCATAAATTTTGTTTAAAAATATTTTTTAAAAATATTCAATACAAAGCAGCTAATTTTCGTACTGTGTTTAAATCTCGAACAAGCATTTGAACTGTTTGTTTAGTTCGAGGTTGAACATCTGAGGTAGGTGAATCTTCAGGATCCATGGCTTCTAAAGCTACAAAATATATTAAACATTAAATAATTTTTTTTATAATATATAAAATTATTGAACGAAATTTACCAACCACAAATTTCTGCCTCAATATATGTTAATTTTGCATCTATATGTTTTTGAAAATGTTCTATATGTTCTAATAATCGCATTCGGCATTCTCCTGGATCAATTGGCGCTTCTGGTTGTGGTATAAAAGGTTGTAATGGTGTTGACATTTCATGTTCATTTTCTTCCTCATGCATATCATTTGCTAATGTATTTGAGACAAATACATTATTTTCAGATAAATTTGATTGATTGGTTAATAAATCTAAATGCGAAAAATAAATACTATTTTTCAGTTATAAATAAAGATTTATTTCTATTTTTACCTGTATTTGTCTTAATATCTGAAGATATTGAATTTTTATATTTGGTTTCAATAGTATCATTTTTTGTAAGTGCATCAAGAAGAATATGACTCTTATTTTGATGTACAAGATCTTCTTTTTTACCAATATTTTTAGACTCATCTGAAGTTATATTATCTTCTTCTAATATCTTCATTAATTCTGAATCTGAAGCTATTGATTTTTCATCATGATCATCTTTTAAGCTAAATTTCGTTTCGGTTTTTATTTCAATTCGATGAGAATTTTCACTTATAGTATCTGTACAATCTTTTCCTGATTTTATAATTTCCATAATTGGTACTGGTGTCATATTTGGTTTTAATATTTCAATTTTCTCCCAATTTTTAGCCCAAAGATACAATTTTGGATGATCTTTTTTTCTATTATATAAATATTATTATAATTAATAATTTTTCATATTTTTTAATTTGATATGCAAATTGCAATACATAATTATATAATACTTACTGAGCTACATTAATTTTCACTCTTAAACTATGCAAAACTTGTTGTATTTGTAAAAGTGCTGCAACTAAATCGTAAGAACGCTTTAACATAGCTGTTCTTTCATTAACTCGATGTTGATTCTTTGTTCGATTAGATAACGTTGGTAATTTTCCCTCTTTTATCCAATCTTGATCATGAAAATATTTTTTGGATAATCGTTGCCGATATGGATTACGACAAATAAAACAAACATATTTTTCAGGTACATCTTTCTCTTTTTCTATTGCATTACAATGACCATGTTGCCAACATAAACAAAGATCACATTGTATCATTAAACCATCTTCTTCCATAAATCCACAAGTACAATTTATTATTTCTTCTCTACGAAGTTGTTCCACTTTTACCATTTCACCATTAATCATCATCATAACACCATCATTATCTATAAAAATTTATTTTTCATTACAAAAAAAAAAAAAATAATTATTTTTCAATCTGAGATGAAAAATAATCCATGCATAAATATATTTTTAAATTAAAAAAACTATGAAATAAATATTATTATATAAATAATACCAAAATATAAGAAATCTCTGAATATAGAAATATTTTTAAATACAAATCTAAGATTGATATAAATTTTCAATGATATAAAATAAAATAAAACAGAAAAAATAAAGAATATACCTTCGCCATCATTAGTATCTTTTTTACTAATATTCCCTTTCAAGGGATCATCTTTTTCGACACGAGAATCGTTTAGTTGACCTAAAGAAAAATAAAATAATAAAATTGTAGCTATTTTTATTACAAAGAAATAAATAACAAAATTAAAAAAAATAATATTCAATATAAAATTATTATTTCAATATATAATTATTCAAAATAAAAAATAACTTACTACTTTGACTATTTTCATCACTTCTTGAATCTGATTTTCTACGACTATATCTATACATAAGTGTAGTAGGTATCCCTCCTTCCAAATCCATCGCACTATCGTCCAAATCACCGTATTCATCTGTAAATTCTTGAATACCTATTATAAAATAATATTTTTACTTTTAATTTATTAAAATAATTAAAATAAAATAAATACTTTATTATATGTACCATGTCGCTTTTTACCCTTATTTGATATATCAGAGCTATATTCTGATAATTGTCGTTTCCTTTGACCTTTTAATTTGTCAATATGAATAGTCTCATCTAAAGATTTTGATCTATCTATTCTCTGTGCTTCGGAAGACACAGCTGGTCTTATTGGAAGTAGAGTTTTAATTCCACTTTGTGTTTTTTCTTCTCTAGTTTTCAAATCAATAATGTTCCAGGTGACATTGCGCACGTATCTTCCCGTTTTTTTTCGATTTCATCATGCATATCTAAACTGTGACTAGAATTTGGAGACATTCTTTCTATTTTAATATCTTCTGTTTGCATATCATTACATTTTTCTATCTGATCTATTTCATCCTCTATTTCTGCTCCTGTTGGTATAGTTACTGTTGGTGATGCAGGTTGAATGGTATTTGTTACAGATGGTGATGAAACATATAATGATCTATCTTGAATAAACTTTCTTTTTCCAAATTTATTACACTTTTCTATCAAATTATTTGATTTTTTTGGAATAATATCTTCAACAGATTCTCCAATTGTTCTTGCATATGCTAAATCTGCAACATTTGGAGTACATCCCAAAAATTTTGAATATTCTGGATGATAATGTTTTATATGCATTTGTAAAAGATTTTCTTTACGAAATGTTTTACTACATCCTTCTTTTGGACATTTATAAGCACTGTCTTCCATTTCTACTCGAAGTCCACCAATAAAAACAGCTATTAACAAGTAAAATTAAAAATTATATTCTAGCAACATTAAAAAAAATTTATATATGTATTCTTCTATTATTATAAATAATATTTATTTGAAAATTTGAATTAATATTTATTTGATTATTTAATTTTATTTAATTTAATTTAATACAAAAACAATACAATTTATTTATTATTATACTCACAATAAATTACTCCTAATACATGTAAGCATAAAAAGTGAACTCAATAAAATTTGATGAATTATATAAAAATATAATAGAAAAATGGAATCTTACCACCATCTGTAATAGATGTAGTTGATGTAGATACTAAAGTTGTAACTGGTGTATTTGTAGAAACAAGCAAAGAATTGTCAGTTACTGGAGTTGTCTTTGTTTTAGGTAATAATGTTTTTATCTTTTTGGGAGCATCCACAATAATATCTTGTTTTATTTTTTGATTTTGATTTTTCTTTTTCCGATGAATACAAAAATCAAATTTTTCAGGGTCAAAATCAAATTGTCCTTGATTTTCCATGAATGCCCTAATATCATTTTTTGATCTAAACTTTTTTCCACTAGATTTATGAAGAAACAAAACATCCCATTTTCCAGCAGATGTACCAGCTTTTCTTTGAGTAAAATGTTTTTGCCATCCAGGTGGTAATCTTTTATCTGCAACTATTATTGATCGACGTGGTCCTACAAAAATAAAATGTATCGTACTATATCATATTTTATTAATCATTTGATGTCATTATATTATATAAATATATATTATATTATATTATATTATATATATATATTATATATATTATATTATATATTATATATATTATATTATATTATATAAAAAATAACAATATTTAACAACAATTTTTTTTTTTAAATACATACCATCATTTCCATCTACTATATAAGATTCAGTTCCTTGTGGTTCTCCATCTACCCATTCAGGTCCTACATCTTCTATTAGATCTATGTCATTTTTAGATACTTCTTTTTTATTTTTTTTAGAATAAGCTTTTAGTTTTGATATATTAGTATCAAATCCTCGTAATAAATCTGTGCCTGGATCATAACAAGGTCCAAATAACGTACCATCCAAGTCAATTTTATTTTCTGAAAAGATTTCTGCATTTTCATTAACTGTAATTCCTTCCTTTTTTGTTAATTTATCCGTTTCATTTTTTGAACGTTTTCTATAATGTGTATGAAATAACTCCATCACTGTATGTTCCTTTTTTTATCTCTTCTTTCTTGCTTGCTTCCTATGTATTCTTCAGTTTGACTAGATTGCTATTATAAACAATATAGTAAAATTTCATTTTTATTTATTCTTTTTACTTTTACTGACTCCATCTAATAAATTTTAATTTTTACAACAAAAAATTATTATTTTATCTATTTTTATGCTAATTTTATTTTATAATGAATAAATTATAAAAT